TTGTCCTCTGACCTCCATACACGCACGCACACACACAGAGCATAAAATCTAAAAAGAGAGAAAGAAATTGAACCTTGGGGCTCAGCGGTTCTGGGAGTCCAGATTCCTTCAAGCTCTGAACTGTGAAGGGCTGGGTTTGTGGCAATTAGAAGTTTTGCATTCTGGGCCCTGCCAGCTGCCCTTCCCCACTCCTTCCCCACCCCCAGTTCATCCTTGGCTCTCTCTCTCTCTGTCCCCCTTTTCCCTTGGGGCTTCCACAGACATGATGCAAACAGGCTGGAGCAGGCTGAGAGGTGGGAGCAGGAAGGAGATGTAATTACAGCTGCTTCTGCCTCTATTCTACAGGAAGCTCAGAGTAGGGGCCCAGGGGAGCCTAGTCCAGTGCAAATGTAGAGCACTTGCCAGGCTCACACCAGGCCTCCCGAGGAGGAAAGCCCCATGAACCACTTCAGGAGACAGAGTCCAGTCTCCATCGGCTGAAACAACAGACTCTGATGCGGGGTGCAGGCTAAGGGGGGTCTGAGGAGGGTGGTTTCGAATTCAGTGACCAACCAGATCAATCAAGTTTGCCTTTCCCTTGGGGGGGGGGGGTGTGAGCACACACTCGCAGGTGCAGGCACGGTTTTGTGTGAGCATGCTCATGTGTGCATAGGCACGAGTTGGGTCGTTGTATGGACATGTGTGCCTACAGACATGCAAAGGCTGCAAGCGTGTCCTTGTGCACACAAGGCCTGTGCGAGTGCGTGCGCGCATATACAGGTATGCGTGCGCAGGGAGGCCAGAGGGCAACCTCAGATACTGTTCTGCATTAACCATCCCCTGGTTGGTTGGTTGAGATAGGGCCTCTCCCTGGGTCCTAGCTAGCCTGCTGAGTCTCAGCCTCCCCAGCCTCAGGGGGATTACCACCGTGTTCCACCATCCCCAGCGCTTCACAGGGGTGCTAAGGACTGAACTCAGGCCCTAGCCACGCGACAAACACATCAGCCCTTCCCTAGTTTCAAAAGAAGCATTTTCTTTCTCATTCTACTGAAGGAAGCCCTGAAGCAGCCCCCAGCCGGAATGGCTGTAAGCTGCTCCTCCAGCCAAAACAGTTCTCCCCTCGAGGGAGGGGGAGGGCACCTGAGACTCAGAAAACAACAGAAACTTCAAGGCCCGCGAAGCTCATAAAGTCACCAGATCCACAGAGGCCCCTTGGCAGTTACATAAGCGGTACACGATTGCTGGGGACACAGACTCCTCGGCTGGGATTACCTGTTGGTGCAGTGTGAGGCTGTGCTACCATCCTTCCTCGCCTGCCTAAAGCATCTTCTGATTGGTTTAACAAGGAGCTGCCAGCAGGAGAGGATGGGCGAGACTTAAGCGAGATTTCCAGGTAGAGATGGGAACTCTGGGAAAGTATCAGGTTAAGCGGGGTGGGGAGGTGGAGTAATTAATGGTGAGGGGTGAGGGGTGTGAAGGTGAGGTGTGGGGAGGTGAGGGTGGAGGGTAGTGTCACCAGCCCGACATGGAGGAAGTCAGAAGTCAGACATAATGGGCCACGTGGCAAATGTGGATTAGAATAAACGGGTTGAGTTATATAAACTAGTTGGGAACAAGCTTAAGCTTGGGTGCTGGTGGGTCAAGACAGTCGGACTGTTGAGAGACAGTTTCCTGGGTCCAGCCATCTCAGGAACAAGTTTCATTTTGCTGGCAGTGTCAGAACTGTGCATGTTCCCAGGCCTAGTACCCAAGTATCCTGTCTTCTTCAGATGTTTCATGTTTGTCTGTTAATCAGTTATCTAAGCTAAGGCACACAAGTTGTATATGTGTTGCCTGTCTCAACTTGTTAATTACATGCAGCTGGCCCACCCCTTTGTTCCCTTAAATCCCGGGTCCAGAAGGAGATCCAATTGTAAAAAGCTGATTCAAGGGTCCTGCAGTCAGATGACCTGGAAAGACCCAGTCACCCACGTTCACTTCCTTGCTCAACCCCTTGTGTCAAATACGATTGGTCAATACAACAGCCTACCCCGCTCCTGCACCCTTTGTATTCTCATCCTTTAAAAAGTGTTGTCCAACCCTTCACAGTGGGGCACGCCTGTAATCCCCGCACTCAGGGAGGCAGAGGCGGTACAGCTCTGTGACTTCAAGGCCAGCCTGGTCTACAAAGCAAGTCCGGGACAGCCAAGGCTACACAGAGAAACCCTGTCTCAAAAAACCAAAACCAATAAAATAAAATGTTGTATAATCTCCCTTCCGGGACATAGTTCAGAACCCAAACTGGATGCCTCCCTGCGTGCACAGAAAATAACACTTTCAATTTTAAGCTTCTCTGAAGTGAGTTTTCTCGGCCAAACCAAACCTGACAGGACGATACTGAATGGAGCTGCACACTCATTGGGCTGGAAGCTCAGAGATCAGCTTTCTCGAGTCATCAGCTGCCTTTGAGTCACCAGTGTTTCCTGTAAGTCACCTCAACAAGTTAATTGGGTCCCCAAGCTGGATTCGATTGGAATATTTGTTCGTGTGTGCCTCCCAAGGAAAAGTCACACAACGGGGACAACAGTGGGGCACTGTCCAGCTGAAAAGCACAGAAGCCTTGCAAAATGCCAGGGAAGGCCAGGCATGTAGGCGCACACCAGTAATCCCAGCATTCAGAGAGCTGAGGCGAGAGGATAGTGGGTCTGAAGCCACCCTGGGCTGCATAACAAAACCTTGTGTTAAAAATAAATAAATAAACAAATTTTAAAAATTTACCCTCGGGGAAGCAGGAAATAAGGAGTTTGATGAGAAATCAGTTCCCTGTCGCAACCAAATCAAGAACGTGTTTAAGCATCATCTAGGCCAAAAATAGCCTCCAAACCACAACTGCAAGTTGTGTAGGCACCGCTCCATACGGTGTATTGGTGAACATAGTAGGGGTCCTTTGTCCTCACAGTTAAGAAAAACATGGCTGAGTTGGAGCCCACAGGACCCCAAATTAAGATAACACAGGAGGAAATCAGAGGGGGTCCCCTGAATGACTGACTGCCTTTATTGTTTCTAACACGAGTTTCTTTCATTTTTTGTTTGTTTTTTGAGACAGGGTTTCTCTGTGTAGCCCTGGCTGTCCTGGAACTCACTCTGTAGACCAGGCTGGCCTTAAACTCAGAGATCCACCTGTCTCTGCCTCCCAAGTGCTGGGAATAAAGGCGTGCGCCACCACCATCTGGCTAACCAAGGATGTTTTTTTTTTTTTTTTTTTTTTTTCTGGGTGCCTAAGTCTTACCAACACTGCATAGGAACCCAAATATCCTCTCCACAAGAAACTCCTCTATGGGTCCCAAGCTGGGCCAGGAGCTCTCTCTCTCTCTCTCACTCTCTCATCTCAGCTCTGCCCCGCGGAGGCCAGTGTCCGGATGCCTGGAACCAGGGCTGTCTCTGCCCTAGTCACATTCCCAGCATTGCCCCAGCCAGCAGGTGTCCAGGAATGATTTGAAAGAGTGAGTGGGGGTGGTGTAGCCATTAAGAGCGAGGTCAGTGAGGCAGGCCTGCAGCCCCGGCTACTCAGTGAAACCTGTCTCTAAAGAAAAGAGCCAGATGTGGTGGGACACGCCTTTAAACCGAGCGTTTGGGAGGCAGAAGCAGGCAGACCTCTGAGGTCGAGGCCAGCCTGGTCTACAAAGCAAGTTTAGGGACAGCCAGGGCTACACAGAGGAACCATGTCTCGAAAACAACCACACCAAAATTTCAAAACAAAAGGAAAAAAAAAAAAAGTAAAATGTAGAGTAAAATGAGGACTGGTGAAATCAATTAATGGGAAGCATTTGCCTAAAATCCGTCAGTGAGGGGCTGGGGTTCCGCTTCATAGTAAATTGCTTGTTTGTCCTGGGCTCAAATCCCCAGTACCTAAGGGGGGGGGGGATGTTTGTGCACTCCTTTAATCCCAGCACTCAGGAGGCAGAGGCATCTCTGTGAGTTTGAGGTAAACCTGGATTACAAAGCAAGTTCCAGGACAGCCAGAGCTAGGGAAGGAGAGCCTGTCAAAGGGGTGGGGGGTGGAGAGGTGTCAGTGTAGGTGTGTAGGTTTCTGGAGAGTTTGCTCAGTGGTTAAGAACATGTACAGCATAGAGATGGCTCAGAGGTTAAGAGTGCTGTCTGCTCTTCCAGAGGACCAGAGTTCAGTTCCCAGCAACCACTTGGTGGCTCATAACCATCTATACTGGGATCTGATGCCTTCCTCTGGCATGCAGGTATACTTGCAGATAGATAAAATACTACATAAAGAACACCTATTGCTCTTCCAGAGGTCCCGAGTTCGGTTCCCAGCATTCACACTGAACAGCTCACAGTCCCCCTAGCTCTAGGGGTTCTGACACCCTCTCTTCTGGCCTCCCTGGACACCTGCACTCATGTGCTCATACCCACATACAGACATACACAAATGCATAATTAAAAATAAAGTATATCGAGACCAGAGAGATGCCTCAGATGGTAAGAGCTGCTCTTCCAGAGGACCCAGGTTCAATTCCCAAGAACAAACATGGCAACTCACAACTGTCTGCAACTCAAGTCCCAGGGGATCCTACACCCTCACGCAGACATACATGCAAGCAAAACACAAATGCACATAAAAAATAAAAAGGAATCATTAAAAAAAATTTTAAAAACTAATGAAAAAAAAAAAAGCCAGTGTTGGGGTCAACACGATGTGAAACCGGATGGATTACGCAAAGCCCCTAAGTCCCTGCCCGGAGGGAGTGAAGGAAACGAGGCAGCCTAGGCTACAGGGCGCTCGGGACCTTCGACTCCCTCAGCTGTGGTATGGTTATCGTGCAGGCAGCCAGCTGTTCTCAAGTACTGGGAAGATGCAAAAAGGAGGAGGGCTACTACGCGGGCACCTCCTGCGGGGTCAGCGTTTCTCCGTCCCCGCACCTCTCACTCCACACACGCTCAGAAAGAAACAGAAGGGACAGACGCAGGCTCCCCCAAAGCTAGCCCCCACGCTCCGCCCGTGCCTCGTTTTCCCTAGAGTGCAGGCACCAGCAGGTTACCAAGTTTATTGGATTTCATACTTCGGCGGGGGAGGATAAAGCTTTCTTGAGGGCTCAGAGCAGGGTGCAAAAGAGTCGCTTGTCACGGAAGGGATTCTCGGCGGCGGGGACAGGCGTCACCAGTGGGTCATCCTTAGCGTGCGTCTCGCAGAAAGCCAGAAGCTCAGCTGCCGCCTGCGACACCTGCAGGTGATGGGTAGAGATGCAGTTGACCCGCCCTAGTGGCTTGGTCCCTGGGGAGCATCCGAATCCCCGCCCCGTGTCCTGACCACGCCTGGGCTGGGCACGCCCCCGACCGGAGCCCCACCTCCCCATCCGGCCTCAGCTCCAGGCTCCGCCCTCAACGAAGCCTGCCGCAGACCCCCAACCTGTTTTCCCGCGGGTGTGCGCACCTTCATGCGCTCGATGTTCACCTCCAGCTTCAGCTGCTCCACCGTCTTGCGAGCCTCAGCGATCTTGGCCATGTTGTTAGACATGGCTGCGGCAGGAAAGGGGTTAAATGCCCGGCAGGAGTGGGGACTGGGGGGCTCCTGGAACACTCTGGGTCCCCCGGGGAGTAGTGAGAAGCTGTGGTGTGACCCAGTAACAGGAGAAGCGGTTGGCACTACGAGCGAATGGGGTCCCAGAGGCAGGTTGAGAAAAGGGTGACGATTCTAGAGGACAGGAGGATGGAGGGGTGACCCGATTGGGGGGCGGGGTGTACCAAGAGGCGGCTGGAGGAGAGCAGAGGGGCCGGGGAAAGGAGGGGATACACAGATGGGAGGCTGAGAGGCAGGTGGAGGGGGGAGGGCCAGAAGGACAAGGCCACAGGTGCTTGATCAGAATCTACGGATCCAGGTGCCCTCACCCCCTGGGGTTAGAGCCTGAGCCAGGAAGGGGGGGGCCCTCCCCAGGCCAATTAGCAGCGACTCCAGGGAGAACTGAGAATTAAGATCTCGGCGGGAGGGGCGCAGAGGGGGCCTCATTAGGGCCTCAGCAGCAGCTGCCCCCTCCGCCACCCTGAGGGACCCACCCCTACCCCAGCCCTGGCTGCCTCAAAGGCTCCTCTGCTCATTAGCAGGCAGGGGAGAGGGGTTGGGCAAGCCAATCCAGCCAGCCCTGTTGACGGGCAGAGAGGACAGAGAGGGGGACAAGTGGAAAGGCCAAGGGAGGGCCAGAGCGACAGACGTGGAGAAGGAAAATAGACTGAGGTGGAGACAGATGTATGAGGGGACAGATGCTGAAGGAAGACGATATGGAAAAGAACAAAGGGCCAGGGTATAGGGAAGGAAAGAGGTACGGAGGGGACAGGAACAGAGGAGATAGGGAAGACAGGAGAGGAGGGACCCGGACAGAAGGGGACATGGCGGGGTCAGAAGGAAAATGGAGCAAGGAAAGACAAGAGAGACTGGGAGGGATAAACAGGGGAACAGAGGGGGTGATGGAGACACACGGAAGTATAAAGCCATTTATTCCCTCATTCACCCATTCACTCATTCAGTCCCAGACGCACACACAGTGGCCGCCGACCGGCTACTGGGGCCGGGCCGGGAGCCTCCTACCTGTTGCCGCTCAGGGCTGGGATGGCTGGCGGGTGACAGAGGCTGGCCGAGGCAGCGGCCGGTCCCCTTCCCAGCCCCGCCCCTTCCCCCGAGGTGCAGCCCCTCAGGACCGCCTCCTCCTAGGCACCACCTGTCTCCACGCCCTGGGCCTGTGTCTCCGGGTCCTCTCCCTGCTGCGTCTCTCCCTCCTTTTCTCTCTCTCCCCGTTTTCCAGTCACTCCTGCTCCCAGCACGTCTTTCTCTGGAGTCCCCCCTTCACACTTGCAGGGAAAGATGGTCCTTCTGGGAGTGCACACGCACGCACACAAGCCTCTCACTCCTGCACACACAGACGAGCGGCCCACCCCATCACAGTGACCCTCTTAGCGGTACACAGGCTCATGCTCAAAAGTCGCTCACGCGGGGATGCACGCTCCCGTGCTGGGTCACAGAGCAGGGCCTCAGTACTCCACACAACACCCGATGACAAAGGTCTCCACAAAGCGCTGTCACCGTCGCGCGGTCAGGTACCCTATCCGAGAGTGTCAGAGGTAACACGCCGTTACCTGCTACCGCCAAGCACAGTTTTAAGTCCTCTCCAAGTTCCCATTCACACTTTCTCAGCATCTCACACATCGACATACAACTAGTTCAGCCTCTCGGACAAGCGCTCCATTGCCTACTATGACACAGGACCGAAAGGCTTTCTTTCCAGGGTTACCTGTGTTTGCTGACATTTCCTGTCGGTCAGTTTCCTGATACACACGGGCCCACAGCGCCTCCTCCCCCCCATGGTCGCATGTAATTCCCGCCACACCCACACACTTTTAGTGTCATACATGGTTGACATGCAATGGTTTTGTGTACACACACACACACACACACACACACACACACACACAGTCACACACAGTCGTGGACACAGGTTTCTGCTGGACCCCACAGCCTGTGTCGCAAATGCTCGCCGTGCTCTCTCTTCCTCCTTCAGCCTTTCCCCAGTCTCACCTGTGCACTCACATCTGAGACCCCCCCAACAATCACACACTTTTGCACGGGCAACCACAAACATAGGCCAGCCTGTTAGTGTCACACGTGACCACCCGTTTTTTCATGACCCCCCCAGGGAGGCAGACACAGTCTCGCTGGTAGTCTCAAAGTGTCACGCTTTGCTCGGACCGTCCCAGTTCCTTTCCCCGTGCCGCTCCTGCTCTCCCTGTCACGCAGTCACACACCATCTCCTGGCGTGGGTCGCACCACTTCTGGCTGCCGCGTGCGACACCACAGCTTCGCTCGCTTCCGCGCTCACCCTCAGCGCCCGCAAGGCCCCGCCGCTGGCCACACGGGGGCGCCCGCGAGCCAAAGTCACACGAGGCGCGCGCAGGGGCGGCGAAGGCAGGGCGTTCTGGACGCCTTACCGGGGGCAGAAACCGACGATCTGGGGGTCCCGGGAAGGTGAGGGAAGGGAGGGATCAGAGCGAGTGGACGAAAATGGGACAGGGAACTTCAGAGAGAGGGGAGAGGTGCGGAGAGAGACAGGGGAACTAAGTACAGAGACAGACGCAGGACAGATGGGATGCACAGGGAGAGTCACAGGCGACAGACAGACACACAGACAGACTTGGAGACAGACTCTCAGAGACCCAGTCGGGCTGGCCGAGAGACAAACGAGAGGCGCTGAGGGCGCCTTCTCCGCCGGACCACACGGCGGAGGCGGGGCCTGTGGAGGGGCGTGGTGTGGGTGTGGTCGAGGGCGGGGCTTTGTGGGGGTGTGGTGGACGGGCCGAGGCCTGGAAGGGGGCTGGGGGGGGGGGGTTGTTCTTTTTCATTTTGCCTCCCAGGGTTCTCCTGGGAAGGGGTGGAGTAGGGAGAGGCGTTTCTGGGGTAGACAGCTCTACCCCAGTTTGGTTTTCACCGCCTGCACTGGGAAGCCAACCTGGTGGGGAAAAAAGCCTCTGATAGCTGTCACCCCCCCAGTACTGGGGATTGAATCCAAAGTCTCACGCGTGCTAAGCAAGAGCTCTACCACTGAGCTACATCCGAGGCCCTCTTTACCTTCATTTTGAGACAGTCTCCTTTAGTTGCGCTAGGTTGGCCTTGAACTCACTCCGTGGCCTAAGCAGGCTTTGAACTTGTAACCCTCCCTAGAGAGTTGGGATGACAGGCCTGAGCCACCCTGATTGCTTTTTGGAGCTGGGACCCTGGCTCCCTGACCCCTCCCTTGTGGGCGCACAGGGCCAGGTTGGAAGGAGAACGCGGCCCACATCTGGAAAGCATCAGGCGCGCCGGACGTGCCAGGGCCCCGGGCAGGGGCTGAGGGAGGGGGAGGGGAGCCGAGGAGCGCTGTCTGCCGGCGCCGAGGAGGGGCCTGGGCGAGCGCCGAGCCCGGCGCCTCCTGCAGCTGGTTTTCATCCCCAGATCTGACCTAGGCCTCCATTGAGGAAGAAACCCAGCTTACTTTAAGCTGAAAAGAGAGGGTGACGACCTTGTCTCCTGACCGAAGGCTAGAGGAAGGACAGACTGACATGGTCTGGATGGCCTCCACCTCCTTCCTAATCTGCAGAACTCAGCCGCCTATTATTTAAATATATATTTACGTTTTACTTATTTTTTGTGTGTATGGGGAAGCGTGTGCCTGTGCCATAGCCTTGGCGTGGAAGTCAGAGGGCACCTCGTGAGCCTCGGTTCTCAGGCCTGGTGGCAAAGGCCGTCAACCGACTGAGCCATTTCGGAGTCCTTAAGCCTTAAGCATTTTAAAGCAAGTCCGGAACCCAGTTTCTTCCCACAACTCCCTCCGGCTTCACTATTCTCTTGGCTTCCTCATCAGGCTTCTGCCTCTTGCCTCTGACCCTCTCAGCATGTTCCCTGTAAAGAAGTCACACGGCCTTTGTCTAAAACCAAGGCCCAGGGTACCTGTAATCCCAGCACTGAGGAGGATGAACCTGGAAGACCAGAGATTCTGGGGTAGCCTGGACTACATAGTGAGGTCCACCTCAGCTAGTGCTAGAGAGTGAAGACAGCCTTAAAAAAACGGCAGTAGGGGCCTGGCGGTGGTGGCACACGCCTTTAATCCCAACGCCCGGGAGGCAGAGGCAGGCAGAGCTCTGGGCGTGGGGCTAACCTGGTCTACAGAGCTAGTTCCGGAACAGCCGGAGCTATATTGTGAGACCCTGTCTCAAACAACAACAACAAAGGGCAGTAGGGGGGAGGACTGGAGGGGGCATCTCAGGCGGAAGAGTGCTTCCAGGCATGCAAGAAGCCACAGGGCCCCACACCTGTGAGCCCAGCATTCAGCGTGGGGCCAGCCTTAGCTACATAGCAATTTCTCTCTTCATTGTTTAAATTATTCATTTTGGTTTTTTGAGACAGGTTTCTCTGTGTAGTCCTGGCTGTCCTGGAACTTACTCTGCAGACCAGGCTGGCCTCAAACTCAACAGAAATCTGCCTGACTCTGCCTCCTGAGTGCTGGGATTAAAAGGTGTGTGCCACCACCATGTTCTTTCCATGTTTTAAAGATTTATTTTGTGTGTGTTTTGCCTGTATATGTATGTATGTATGTATTTATGCATGTATGCATGCATGTATGTATGTACAACCATGCAGGTACCTATGAATGGTTGTGATCTATCATGGGGGCGCTGGGAACCGAACCCAGACCCTCTGCAATAACAGAAAGTACCCTTAACCACTGAGACATTTCTCCTGCCCCAAAGATTAATTTTTATTGTTTAAAACACTAATTTTACTTTTGAGCATGAATGCTGTGCTTGAATGTATGTCTGTGCACCGCATGTGTGTCTGGTGACTGCGGAGAGCACGAGAGAGTGATGGATCCCCTGGAACTGGAGCCGTAGGGTCATGAGTCACCATGTGGGTGCTGAGGCTCAAACCCAGTTCCTCCACAAGAACAGATACTCTTGCTGGGTGGTGGCGGCGCAGGCCTTTGATCCCAGCACATGGGAGGTGGGGCCAGAAGGATATCTGTGAGTTCAAGGCCAGCCTGGTCTACAGAGGGAATTCCAGGACAACCAGGGCTACACAGAGAAACCCTGTCTCAAAAAACCAAATAATAATAATGACAAAATAAAGAAAAAAAAAAAAGATAACTCTTAACCACTCAACCATATCTTTAGCTCCCATAGCAAGTTTAAGAGGTTCAGAACAAGAAAAGGTGCCAGGGGGCTGGTGAGGTGGCTGGCCTAGAACTCACCATGTAGTCTATCCTGGTCTGCAGAGTGCAGGGATGACAGGTATGTGCCACCATGACTATCTGTTCTTCCCTTCTCAAGTTCCTCATCAACTTTTAAGTCACCCCGACCCCTGACCAAAGATCTTCCCCTGTGACCAAGGAAGAGTGGAAAAAGGCCATTAGCCAGGCGTGGGATGGGCATGCATGTAATTCCTCAGAAGGCTGAGGCAGGGCGATAGCCTGTTCAAGGCCAGCCTGTCAATAGAGGGAGCCCCCCTTTCAAGCACACACTGAGAGGTGGGGAGTATATGCTTCAGGATGACATCTACAACCCCAGGTCCCACCACCTGGGAGATGGAGGTGGGAGGATCAAGGTGGTCCTCAGTGACAGAAACCTCAGTGGGGCTGGGAGAGTGGAACAACCATTCCTATTTATTTGGGCCATCACTATGGGCCTGAGGAGCCCTGGCCAAGTCCCTTTTCCTTTCTGACCTCAGCTGCCTCTCCAGCGGAACAAATATCCCCCAAGGAACAACTTTTGAAAATAACATCATTCTCAGTCCCAAGTGCCAAGGATCAAACTCTTGGCCTGTGCCTCTTAAGCAGTTCTACCTCTGAGCTCCCCATCCCTAAACACCCATCCATCCATCCATCCATCCACCCATCCATCTACATCCATCCATCCATCCACCCATCCATCTATCCACCCACCTACTTTCCTAGTTACCCATCTCTGACTTTTTCCTCTTTCTTTCCGTTCTCTTTCTTCTTTCTTTCGAGACAGGGTTTCTCTGTGTAGCCTTGGCTGTCTTGCTGGCCTCGAACTCACAGAGATCCACCTCTGCCTTCCAGAGTGCTGGGATTACAGGGCTGCGCCATCACACCTGGCTCTATCTATGAATTCCTTGTGGCCTAGCTTCAAACTCACCATGTAACTGCGGACGACCTGAACTTCTGATCCTCTTGCCTCCACCTCCCAAGTGCTGGGATTACAGTGTGCCCAGCCATGCCTGGTTTCTGGGTGCCAAGTTGGAGCCTGGGCCTTCATTCACACTAGGCATGTGCTCTACCCAATGGGCCATACCCCAGCCCATCATTTCCTGGTACTTGTCCCTTCTGTCCCCACTATAGTGGAGCATGGACTCTGTTTTGTTCCCCAGAGTGTGGCTGAGCTAGATATGAGCACAGCAGACTTGTGCTCTTTTCTCTCAGGGGCATGGACCCACCCGGACAGATACGCATCCCATTCCTCCCACTGTGGAAGGAGGTGGGGTTGGATCCTGAACCCTGACTGTCCTAAGGCCTTGTGACCAGGGCTAGTAATGGCCTCTCCAGATGTCTATTTACCCACTTACGGAATGGGCACAGTAGCTGAGCTTAACCAATAGGAAAAAGAAACATGTAAAGGCTACAAAAAGGCAGTTCACATAAGAGAAGACACAAGGACCAAACCCCACACAGAAGGATGTGCCAAAGCGGAGAAATAGAGGCTGGAAAGATGGCTCAGAGGTTAAGAGCACTGGCTGCTCTTCCTGAGGACCTGAGTTCAATTCCAGAAGATCTGATGACTTCCAGCCTCTGTGGGCACCAGGCCTACACGCAGGCAAAGCACCCATACACATAAAAATAAAAAAGTAAGCCAGCTGGGTGGTGGCCACATCTTTAGTCCCAGCACTCGGGAGGCAGGGGCAGACAGATCCCTATGAGTTTGAGGCCAGCCTGGTCTACAAAGTGAGTGCAGCCAGAGCTATACAGAGAAACCCTGTCTCAAAAAACTAATTGAAATAAAGACTAAAACTAAAGCAGACGGGCGGACATGCTGATTTAACACAGCCACCTCACACCAGGAGATTGTCAAAATGAACGTGTCTGGAAGATGTGCTGAGGCATGCCTGTGGTTCCAAACTCCTGAGGCTGAGGCAGGAGGATCTCCAGCTGCAGGCTGATGTGGGTTATAGAACACGTTCATGGCCAGCTCAGCTACCCCCGGGGACAGCCTGTCTCTAACAGGGGTTGTTGTTGTAAGCAAACGTTATTGAGACAGGGATCTGTGGCCCAGGCTGGCCCGGAACTAACTGTGTACGCCAGGCCGGAGATCTGCCCACCCACACCTCCCTGGCTTTTCCCACCACGCCTGGCTTCTACATACTTATTAGTGATCCAAATTCAGGTCCTCAGGCTTGCGCAGCAGCGGACTCTCCAATCCCCCATCTCAAGATGACTTCTTTAGAGTGTGTGGTGTGAGGCATGCACAAGCAGTGGCGCACGTGTGGAGGCCCTTCTAAGTTGCCACAGGCTGTTGCCGCCACTTCATACAGCAGGGTGGCTGGCCCTGGGGCCTCCAGGGCCGCTCCTGCCTGCGTTTCCCGCTGCCTTACAGCACTGGACACACACGGGGACGCTGAGCGGGGCTTTGCAAGGGTTCTGAGGACCGGAACTCACACCCTGGAATTCGGCAAGAGCTTGATACACACAGCAGCCGGGCAGCCTTGATCTTCACTTGCCCTTTTTACGAAAACATAAAATGATGTCCAAATATAACACAACGGTCAGAGTTCCTGAAGAAAAAGTCAGGGGTCATGAAGTGAGGTTAAAACTCAACCTGGGCCCCAGCACCTGGCTCTGCACTCCGCCGTTCCACAGCAAACCGAAGGTGCTTCCTACATGCCTCTTGAAAGAAAAAGGGTCACATCTCTCATTTTAAGGCAGAACAGGAATCCAGGGAGTATGTAACATTGTGCATTTATTTACAAAGAGGTTAGAGAAACACAGAATCTGGCCCCCCATGCACCGGGGAGTCACCATTGTCATAATAAATACAGTGATTTCTTTAATCAAAAACAAAAACAAAAATAAAAAACAACAAAACAACAAAAAACAAATAAAAAACCCCACTGGATTGGAACAGCTGAGGGTCATTCAGCTTCCCCCACTCCCCGCGGGGAGAGGCACCAGATTGAAACCATCTTCCTTCCTCTCTAACTTGCCAATCCTCCATCACTGTCCAGGGATGGAGCAGAAAGAGTCCTTTTCCAGGTGTTGGCAACTCCTACTTGACCCTCAAAGCCCCTAAGACAGTGCCACTTCCTCTTCCAGGGCACTCTACAGGCATGACCTGAGTCAGACAGTCTCTGACCCGGGGCCCCAGGGGTATCCTAAGGGTCCGCGGACATGGAGGGGGCACTTTGTGAATGAGAAGGGAGCCCTGCCTGGGCAAGGAAAGGAGGAATGAGAAGGCTGTGTGAGAGAAGTGAGGAGAAAACAGACTAAGCTTCTCAAACTAAAAGGGGGGTTGGGGGGAACTGAATGGAAGGAATTACGGCTTTTGCACACATGGACACCCGTTGTACAGATGGGGAGAGTGAGGCCCAAAGAGGGGCGCCTTCGGGTCCAAGACGTTAAAAACCAGCTCTACTGGGCCAATCTGGGCGCCTCCAGATTGAGGAGAGAGGGGCAGCCTCTCCAGGACGGCTATGGATGGCGGGCAGTGAGTGAGGAGGGTCTTTGGAAACAGAGAAAACCGGTGGTCTTTGGAAGGTGGGTGTGGAGGGGCTCAAGGATGAGAAGGGGGTGGGTGGGTGCGGAGGCCATGGAGGTGGGAGCCCAAGCCCATCCCCCCCCAACTCACACAGTCGTCATGACCTTCAGAGAACCCGACCGGAACCGCAGGATCTTTTTCTTCAGCGCGTGGGATGCCTTGATCTTCACGAAGACCTTGGCCGGCCCCGCCGGGGTCGCTCCACTCGCCACACCCCCCGGCCCCGACGGCGAGGCCCCGGCGGCTGCCACCAGCTGCTGCGGCCACACGAGGCCTCCGCTGCCGTCGGAGTCGCTGGAGGCGGAGCTGAAGGCAGGCGACTCGCCGTCGCTGGCACTCGACTCGCTCTCGCCGTAGCCCCCGGGGGCGCATCCGGACGGCATCCGACGGCCCAGTGGCACGGGCCGCCCTGCCGCCGAGCACTCGGAGTCGCTGCCCGCGCAACCGTACAGTAGCCGGCGCGGGGGCGCGGATGGCGATGGCGCAGGGCCGCGCGGCGCGGGCACGCGGCCGCGGGCGCGTCGGCCTTCGGGCGAGTCGATCTCGGCCGTGGAGCGCCACCGACGGCAGGCCTGGACGGTGGGCGTGGGCGCGGGGCCGCGCCGGGGCCGCGGTGGTCGGGGCTCGTCTCGCTCGGCCGTGGGGTACTTGGGAGGCGGAGCGGCGTGCGCGCGGCCCAGCAGGCTGGTCTCGGACTGCGAGCGCGCCGCCTTGCGCGCCCTCGGCGATCCCCGACGCCCAGACGGCTCTGCCAGGCGGCCCCGACGGCCCGCGGCGCGCGGCCGCTCCCTGGGCGGGGACTGCTCCACGCTGCGCCCTCGCGTGAGCGGCGGAGCCCGGCGGCGCGCGGCGCGGCCCGGGAGGCCCCTGGAGGCCGCGGGCGCGCCGGGTATGTACTGTGCCTTCACCAGGCGTCCCTCCGCCGGGCTGGAGGGCGGTGACGGGGCGGCCGGAGGCGCGGGTTCGGGCGGAACCTCCGCCTCCCACGCCCAGGCGCGCTCCGTCGACGGCTCCCGCGCGGGTCGCGCGCCGCCGGGGGGCGGGGACGCTTCGGGCGGCCGCGGGCGCGCGCCGTTTTGGCGTCGCGCGCCCCCGTCCGCACCCCCGGGACTCGTGCGCGGTTGACCCGCCCCCCGGCGGCGACGCCTGCGCAGGAGCGCCGAGATGTAGCCATCCAGGGGTCGGCTAGCCGCCCCGTCGGGGGAGCCGCACGGTACACGTCCGCTTGGCCGTGGGCTGCGCAGAGCCACCGCGTGCAGCGGGCTGGGCGTCAGGAAGGGCCCCGCGCGCGCACGCCGCTCTGCGGAGGAGCAGGCCTCGGCTCCGGCTGCCCCCGACGGGTAGGGAGCTGAGAAGGATCGAGGCACCGCAGCCCGGGCGCCCACTGACTCCGGAGCGCTGGGACTGGCGTCGCCTGCGGAAGAGAAGCAGAGGAAGAGAGAGGAGGGGCTCTCAAAGGCCTTTCTTAGCCTAGAAATGAAGCAGCTGAGGCAAGAGGATCACCTCCAGTTTTGAGCCAGCCTGAGCTGTGGAACACCTTAATAGTGTACAATAAATAAATAAATAAGCAAATTAACTAATAAATAACGGGCTTGGTGGTGCACATGTGTGATCCATCTCAGGACTGAGAAGGTGGAGGCCACTCTCAGCTACTTCGCATGTTGGAGGCACCCCCACCCTCAAAAACAAAAACAAATCTAAGTTGGACAAAGTGATACAAGCTTGTCGTCTCAGCGCTGGGCAGATGGAGGTAGGAGGAGCAGGGGTTTAAGGTCACCCCCAGCCACACAGCAAGTTTGTGGCCAGTCTGCGCTACACGAGAGCCTCCTTCAAACAAACAGTTAAGCGAGGTGTGGCGGCCCTTGTTTGTAATGCTGAGGAGGCTGCGGAGAAGTGCTCCAGGTCCCCAGCCGGCCAGCCGGGGTTACAGAAAAAGACCAGAATAAGAGCCGGTGGTGCTTTAATCCTAGCATTTGGGAGGCAGAGGCAGGCAAAACTCTGAGTTCAAGGCCAGCCTGGTCTACAGAGGAATAAAATTGAAGCTGGTGGAGAACCCAGCCTGAATAGGGCAAACTACCCCCTGAAGACCCTGCCCCACTCATACCCTTTTATATGGTTCATGACAAAATCTCTTCAAGACTTCATCACTTGTCTTGCTCTGATCTCTCTCACCCCACTGTTTACCCTGCACATTCGTATTTTTGCATCTGCAGCTGCACTGACCTCCCAGAAGCCCCAAATTGCCAGGCTCTGATCTTGGGGCCTTTGTGATTTCTGCTTCCTGGCCTCTTCCTTCGGGATATCAGCTTCGCCTATGCTCTCACATCTCTCAGATGTCAAGGGCTCAGTGAAGCTTTCCCTGTCTGTATTTTCTAAAGCCAGTTTCCTCTTGAGGCCAGGTTTGGTGGTGCATGCCTCTCCTCCCTCCAATCTTGGGAGGCACATGCAGGTTTGAAGCCGGCCTGGTATATTTAGTGAGTAACAGGATTGCCAGGGCTATATAATAGAGATATCCCTGTCTCAAAAAGGAGAAGGAGGAGAGGAAGAAGAGAAAAGAAAAAAAGAAATTCAAGGGGCCCTCACTGGCTTGGAACTCACTATGTACACAAGGCCGGCCTTGAACTCCCAGAGATCTGCTGCCTATCAGCCTTCCAAGTGAATGCTTAGTTTAAAGGTATGCATTGCTATGGCAGGCTTTTTTTTTTTTTTTGAGACAGGGTTTCTCTGTGTAGCCCTGGCTGTCCTGGAACTCACTCTCTAGACCAGGCTGGCCTCGAACTCACAGAGATCCACCTGCCTCTGCCTCCCGAGTGCTGGGATTAAAGACATGCATGCACCAACACTACTCATACCCAGCATTTCTCTTCCTTCCTTCCTTCCTTCCTTCCTTCCTTCCTTCCTTCCTTCCTCTCTCCCTCCCTTCCTTTCGTTTTCTTTTCTCTTTTTTTTTTTGGTGTTTGAGACAGGGTCTCTCTACAGAGCAATGGCTGTCGTGGAACTCTGTAGACCAGGCTGGCCTTGAACTCACAGAGATCTGTCTGCCTGTGCCTCTGCCTCCAAGTGCTAGGATTGAAAGCATGGGCCACTATGCCTTGCTGCACTCATGCAGTATAGACACTTAGGACACCCCCCCCCCCCCGTTAGCTGAACTGAAGCCCAGAAGGAAGAGAGATGCTAAAACCATACCAAGACCTACGGTCTCGGCCAGCACCGGAAGTCCAAAGTGGACTCATTAATGTTCAGAGCCATCCTCTGGCTGTCATAGGGCCCCACCATCTAACGTACCTAGGGACTTGGGTCTCTCACTGGCATAGAGGCCCCGAGGGTCCGAGGGGCCCAGGCGTCCATAGGAGCCAGATCCGGAGAAGCTACTATCCCCGCAGAAGGTGGATGGTGGTGAATCTGGGCCTCCGGTAGAACTGGGGTCTTCATAGAAGCCTGGATTCCAGGGAGAAGTTGAGACAATTAGGGGACCTGGGGTGAAGAAGGGAAGAGGTGGGTCTGGGAGAGACAGGGGCTGCTTGAGGGACAGAGGACACTGAGAAAGACTGGGGTGCCCTGGAGAGACCCCACCCCTCACCTGAGCTGCGCCCACTCTCCTGGTCCAGGCCGCCAGACTCTAGACTCAGGTCTCCCAGCTGCTGGCTCAGGTCCCAGACGAGCCCAGGCAGGGCTTCCTGAAGTACAAGGACAGAGTGGTCAGAAGGGTCCGGAGCCCATCTGCCTCCTGTTCATGAAACCCGAGCCCTGGCAGATTTCCTCTTGGAAATGTCGGCTCTCTGTCCCTCGGCTGTTAGCAAGTTCTTCTGTATAACTTCCAGCCTTCATGCTGTATTCCCATCCATGTGTGTTAAGACTTCAGAAGGGCCCATCTTTTGTCCATTCTGGTTAGCTAAGCCCCATCTGTGCACACAGCTCCCTAAGCCCTATAGCGTGTTCCCTTCCACTCTCATTTTATGTCTTCGTTTTGCCTCTTTGTGTTCCGAGACATCTCTGCAGCCCTGGCTTTTCTGGAACTCATTATGTAAACCAGACAGACCCTGAACTCGAAGAGATCTGCCTGCTTCTGCCTCCTAAGTGGTGGCATTAAACACTCACACCACCAAGGCTGGCATCTTTTTAACAATTAATCAGATGAATTAATTAGCTAATTAATTATATGCTATGGGTGTTTTGTCTGAATGCATGCCTGTGCACCGTGTGTGTGCAGTGTTCAGGGAGATGGGAAGAGGGCATCAGATTCTCTGGTACTGGAGTTACAGATGGTTGTGAGCCACAGCGTGGGTGCTGGGACTCAAACCTGAGTTCTCTCGATAGCAGTGAGTGCTCTTAACTGAGCCATCTCTCCAGCTCCTTTGTCTCTTGGGACAGAGATTCAAGCATGTGTGATGGAAAGCGGCCTACCAACTAAGTATAGCCTCTGCTTTTATTTATTTTTCAACAGGGTTTTTCTGTGTAGCCTTGGCTGTCCTGGAACTCATTCTGTAGACCAGGCTGGCCTCAAACTCAAGAGATCTGCCCACTTCAGCCTCCTGAGTGCTGGATTAAAGGCATGTGCCACCACTGCCTGGCTTTTTTTTTTTTTTTTTCCAATTTTTTTCTTTTTTTTTTTTTTTTAAGCTGGGCTTGGTGGTACACACCTTTAATCCCAGCACTCAGGGAGGCAGAGGCAGGCGGATCACTGTGAGTTTGAGGCCAGCCTAGTCTACAAAGCAAGTCCAGAACAACCAATGCTACACAGAGAAACCTTGTCTCAAAATATATATATATTTTTATGTGCATTGGTGTTTGGTCTCATTGTACATCTGTGTGTGTGTGGGGGGGTATCAGATCCCCTCAAACTAGGGTTGCAGACACTTGTGAGCCATGTGGGGACTGGAAAACAAATTCAGGACCTCTGGAGGAACAGCCATTGGTCTTAACCACGTAGCCATCTCTCCAGCCCTGCTTGCTTGCTTCACTTACTTGTTTAATTGTTTATTTACTAAGACAGGGTCTCACTTTCTAGCCCTATCTGGACTAGAACTCCCCATGTAGCCTAGGCTGGCCTTAACTTGCAGAGATCCTGCCTCTGCTTCCCAAGTGCTGGAATCCAAGTTGTGTTTAATTATATTTTTGATATTTATTTACCCATGTATGTAGGTGTCTCTGTGGGTGTATGTGCATGAGTGTGGAGGTCAGAGGAGGGGCATCAAGTGTACTCTGTCACTCTCTGCCTACTCCTTTGAGGCAGGGTGTCCCCCTGAACTTGGGGTTCAGTCCTCAGTGACTTTCCTTTTAGAGCTGCTGAGGCATATTCTAGGAATTCTGCTTACCATGTAGTGGTGAGATTCAAACTCTAGTCCTCATGGCACTCAGCAAGGACTTGTGACCACTGAACCATCTGTCTAGCCCCTTCAGCTTATTTTTTTGAGGCAGGGCCTCACCTGCTTAGGCTAGCCTGGCTCCGATAAGCTCCACAATCCTCCTGACCCTGCCTTCCCAGGGTCATGGATCTCAGCCTCACCCAACCTTTTCCTGGCTTCTATATCATGCTCAGCTGTCAGGCACCTTACTGAGACATCTCCCTAGATGTCCCCCAGCCATTTCTGAGAGTCTCCCTCTCACATAGTCCAGGCTGGCCTCAGACTTGGCATGCAGGGGAGCATGAACTTGACCTTGTGACCTGCCTGTACCTTCTGAGTAGGGTGTTGCTGGTATGTGGCACACCATACTTAGGCCTTAACTTAAGGTCGAGTTCATGGTAAAAGGGGATGACCACGGGGCTGCCTCCTCCTCCTCCATTTTGACCTTTCTTTTTTAGGTATATCACTCTTCCTGACATTGTCCCTTATCACCAAAGGGAAGTTTTTTTTGTTTTGTTTTTAATTTATTTACCTTAATGTGCTTTGTTGCTTTTTGCCTACATATATGTCTATGTGAGAGTGTCAGATCTTGGAGTTACAGACAGTTGTGAGTTGCCATGCGGGTGCTGGGATCTGAACCTTGGTCTTCTGGAGGAGCAGCCAGTGCCCCCAACTGCAGAGCTATCTCTCCAGCCCACAAGGTGAGGCTCCTGCAGAAGTCTCCTCTCAGTGCTCCCTGCTGCTGCAGGCTGGCTACCTCACATAAAACTCAAGGCGTGCAATTCACACACCTCCTGGCTCCTCCCCTCAGAAAGAACCACTCTTTTGTGCCTCCTGCAAAACCTTTTGCAAGCCAAGCCACACTGGTGGCTACAGCAGTGATCACAGACCAAGACCCCCAGGGCTGGAGGAGAGGGGCCTAGGTTGGAAGAGTGATTGCCTAGCAGGAAACTCTGGGTTCAGTCCCGAGGATGGCATAAAAGACCTGTAGTCCTAGCACTGACTAGGGAGGTAGAGGCAGGAGGATGAGGAGCTCAAGGCCATCCTTGGCTACTTAGTGAGTCTGAGGGCAGCCTGAGCAAGAAGACCTTGTCTCTACAATTAAAGAAAAAAAAAAATCTGGGATTTTTTTCTTATTTTGGAATCCGCAGAAGCAGGGCCAGGGAATGTCTCACAGGGGACTGAGTGAGACCAGAGGTAGCGGCTGCCTGGGGCAGACAGTTGACCCTCAGACAAAAGCGGCTTGTCTGGCCTCTCTCGGGAGGGCGGGGACCAGCACCCAGCTCTGCCTATTTAGGGCAGAAAGACTGGCCTGGCTCTGGGCAGCAGCCACCGCCCCCCACCCCCGCCCCAGCCCTTGACTCCTCCAGGCCTGGCCTCCTCCCCTCCAGGAACAGAAGCCCTGATGTGGCCCCTGTGTGTACAACTAAGGTCAACAAATGCCTCCAGCTGGAGCCTCCCACTCTGGGTGTGTGATGCCCATGACTCAATCAAACTTTAAGCAAAACCAAAAGAAAAAAAAAAAAGGCCACAGGCCTGGGCTGCCCATCAATGGCCTGTGTCATGTCCCAAGTGGACCATCTGCTGCCTGACTCTCTGATTGTCACCACACTTTGGCCCCACCCCACCCTTACCCCAAATCCTACAACTTGGGCTTTTCTAATGTGATCTCCCATCCCCCGCCTTTCTAAAACAGTCCCTTTGCCATTCTGCACCCTGTCACTCTGCTTTTTCTCCCACCTCCTAACTTTAAAACATATATCAGAGCATCACTCATTTATTGTGTCTCACTAGGCGGCGATTTCTCAGTGGGGCAGGGATTTCTGACTGTTTGTTCACAGCAGCACACTCCTCCCTTGAGCTTAGCACCTAGGAAATTTGTGATGAATGAATGCCTGAATGTTCGTGGAATACTGTGTAGCTGTTAAGATGGACAAAGACAGATTTTCTGTGATACAGTATTGAGCAGCAGAAGAGGACTATACAGGAGAGGGAGGAAGCCAGAATCACAGACACAGGGATACATGTGTCATCCTGTGACTTCATCATAATAGGGGCATTGCAGACTTTAAACAAACAAACAAACAAACAAACAAACAAGCTACAGTGCCAACAAGCAGTACATTGTTTTGAGGTTTGGAGACAGTCTCAGGTAGCCCAGGCTGACCTTGAACTCCTTATGTAGCCAACGATGACTTACTTCCAATCTTCCTGCCTTCACCTCCCAGGTGCCAAGGAGCTCAGATGTCACCCAGTGGTGACAATCTTATGGGAGCCACCATTGCACATGTATGCCATGGCTGGTGGGAGTTGGCAAGGGGAGAAAGCCTGGAGGGTCTGCAAAAACCAAAGTTACCAAGTTCCAGCTTGAGAGCTTCTGGACACACCTGGGTTGGAACCCCAGCATTTGTATATTTCACCACTTTCACAGCTTGTGTCTCCTTTGGTGGGAGGGGCCACATTTTGAAGACCATGAGCAAAGCTTTGGGACCGCACCCAAGAAATGTGAATTTTATAAAATAGCAAAACCTTTGAGGCAAGCCAGGGGTGCAGTTTAAGATACTTCAGTGATCTGCAAAGCAAAGACAGGAGCATGCAAAGTTCAAAGCCTGTCTAGGAATTACAGAGAAACCCAGTCTCAAAAAGAGGGCAAGGGCCAGACAAGGCAGCAGAAGCAGGTGTAGCCAACCAGGGCTACACAGGGAGATCTCGTCTCAAAAAGTGAACCAAACCAAAACTAAACTAAAAACAAAAATAGAGGACTGGGGACATGGCTCAGTGGTAGAGCCCCTGCCTAGAATTCCCCAGTGAGGGGCTGGAAATGTGGCTCAGTGGTAGAGCCCCTGCCTAGAATTCCCCAGTGAGGTGCTAGGGGTGTGGCTCAGTGGGAGAACCCCTGTCTAGAATCCCCCAGTGACAGGCTAGGGGCATGGTTCAGGAGTACAGCATTTGCCTAGCCTGCTCCTTACCCTTAGGTCCAATCCCTGTACTGGTAAATAAAAAAAGCAAAGCTCCGTGGAGTGCTTTCCATTTCTTTCCTGGTCTATATACTCTTTAGTGGAGTACATACATTAGAAAAAAGTCAGAATGGACTCAAGCTAAGGTCAAGCAGTAGTGGCCTTCCTAACACAGGGAATCAAAGGAGAGATGAGGGGAACTGTGTAGGACAATGAAATATTTGTGTGACTTGGTACCTAGTGTCCAAGATTCAACTCATCTCTTCCACAGGCCAGCTGTAAGACCTTGGGTGTATGTCTTGGCTTCTCTGGGCTTCATTTTCCTCATCTGAAACATGGGAATCATACAACCAGGTCTTTGATAAGCTTGCTGAAATGGCTAAAATGAGTTAAAAGAACAGTTCTTTTCAGTGCTTCATCAATGCTAGCTTAATTATTACAAGAAAGTATCTCACAAGGAGTACTTTCAAATACTGTTTGCATAATTAAAATTATGTAAAATGATGTATGTAAAATGATGGGTTTTAGGGGTGGGAGAGATGGATTCCACAGCTCTCATTTCAGTTTTTCCACTAGGGTGAAGAGTCAAGAGTTGGGGGAACAGCAGCCTGAGTTCATCTTTAAATGACCCGATGTCTTGAGAGACTTCTTTGCCCAAACGTCCCCATATCTTTTTTCCTCTTTTTTACACTCCAACCGGTGTTTCATCTACGTTAAGAAGTCCTTTTGCAAGTCTAGCTCAAGTCCTCCTTGCTGGAAGGGATCTTTTTCCTTCCTAGGAGCAAACAGGACCCCTCCATACACAATATCCATGCCTCTCTTTTCTGCAATACCTCTGCTCTTTATTTGATATGGCCACATCTGCAGGGTTTTTTGTTTGCTTGTTTGTTTTGTTTGCTTCAAAGGGAGTGTGTTTCTGAGTGACGGATGGAGATGTAGGTTGTCTCAAGAGGTGACCCTGCTCATCTTCAGAAGGACCTAGGAACCCTCCAGGCCAGAAGTGTTTATATATAGCGCTCTTCTCCTCCATCAGCCAGGCTCCTATCCCAGTCCCCCACCACCTCTTCTTTGGGGGCTGGGTCAAGCCTTAACTGCTGACAGTGGGGAAGGAGTGGAGTGTGAAGGGACAGTCCCCTCTTCCATCACTACCTCTGTGCCAGCCAGGAGGAGTAAGCAGTGAGAAGTGGGGTAGAAAGGCAAACGGATGCATGGAAAGTGAGGGGCAGAGAGTGAGGAGGGAAGAGAGGCCAGGCCAGTCCTGGTCTACAGTGGTGCCCTCTCCCTCCTTCTAGTGGGGTAGTGGGGTCTGGCAAAGCCCAGGCAGCTTGGGGCAGGGGGAGCGGTTGAACAGCCCCCCCCTTCTGTAACTTTTGGAGGGGGCGGGGCCTCCCACAGCTGTTTTTGCTTGGAGAAGAATGTGTAAGGTCCCACTCCTTGCACGGTCAGGCCGTTGGGGGGTGGGGCTGAGCGTCTGGCCTCAACGCCTTTCCCCACTTCCCATCTGGGGAGGGGGCAGTCGAGGTCAGCAACAGCCAGAGCCCCCTCCCCACCCCCACAGCCTCGGCTCAGGTTTCCCTAAACGGGAAGCTCTGACCACACACATGTACACAGGCACAGAGGCTTAGGGATTGGGATGGGCCAGGGGAGTGGGCTGGGGGAAGGGAAGAGAGATGGAGACAGAGGGGCAGAAAAGCACTGAGCGCCTAGAGCCAGACCACGATCCCATCTCTGACCTCCCCTGGTTTTGGAAGCCATGCAGGTCTTGGAAGACTATAGAGCAGGAACAGGATTCAGAAAATAAAACAGGGATGCTGTGTTATGGAAAGGTGGGAGGGACACCCGGAGAGGGTCTTCAGACTCAAGGAGTGATGGGGGGGGGGAGTTGGGGCCTTTTCATTTTGAAAGTCATCATTAGAGCGCCACGGAGAGCCAGACTTCCCTCCATCCCCCAGCCACCTTCACCAGGCTTCCCCTTATGTTACCGGGGCATGGGACCAAGTAGAAGAGAGAAGTGTTATCCGGTGGATCAAAATGCCCCCTGGGGTCCTCAGGGACTGTGAGGTTCTCAGCAGTGGGTCCTGCCCTCCAGAGGCCTGAAGATTCCCCTTCCCCCACCCCGCCCCCTCCAGGGATCTCCAAGCACCCCGGGGACTTAAGGAAAGATGGAGCCCGGGGAGCGGGGCCCAGAGGGAGGTTATGTTTGAATGCCGGTTGTGTGACCTTGGGTGAGTCTCTTCCTGTCTCTAAACCTCAGTTTCTTTCTCTGTAAAATGAGTACTCTGGAACCCTCCTGAGGTGGGAAGACTGTACGAAGCCCGGTGTTCGGTTTGACACACACTAGGCGCCCAGGACGGTTAACAGGGTTCCATGCTGAGGGTCCAGCGGAGGGCCGCGCATCCTCCCCATCAGCTCAGTTTGGGGGTGGGGGAGGCCAGGTCTCCAGTCTCATCTCTCTCGCTTTCCCCCTGCCTGCTCCCCCACCCTAAGACCGGTGTCCTGAGCTTACACTACCCAGACAGGCAGACCGACACACAGACGGGGAGGTGGGGGAACGGATGGGGGAGGGAGGGATGCACGGATGGACGCACGGACCGGCGACCCCTCACCAGCTGCTCCTCCAGGGCTGCCGCGGCCCTGCGCGCCGCTGCCGCATCCTCGTCCTCCTCGGCGTCCTCCTCGTCCTCGGCCTCGGCGCCCCCCATCCCGGGCTGGGCCAGCCGCAGCGCCTGCTGCACGCGGTACTCCTGCCTCTCTCGGAGCCAATGCAACTCGCAGAGCCCGGCCAGGCTGCCTTCCAACCATCCCCGCAGCCGACCCCGCTCCGGGCTAACCGGGAACGAGAAGGCCCGGATCATGGCTGCGGCCCCCCGCCCCAGCCCGGCCGGGCCCCACGGCCGCCCCTCTCGCCGGTCCCACCTCCCCGCCCCAGCAGCCCGCCCGCCCGCTGGCCCGGCTGTCACCGTCTCATCTGCATAGGCGCCCGCCCATTGGGCCGCCCACCCGCGCCTTATCTACATGACCACGCCCCTGGCGGCACAACAGCGACCTACTATTGGGTGCTGCCTTCCGTGACGCAAGGCTCCGTCCCGCCCCGTCCCGCCCCACAACGCACGACCGCGACTACCTACGGGGAACCAGACTCGCCACGCCCCATTCGTGAACAGACTAAGGGCTGTGGTCACGCCCCCTTACGTCACAATGAAACAAGCCCGCCCTTGCTCCCATTCCATTGGTGCCAGCCACTTGATTCTGGAGCCGGCCCCGCCCTCTTGCGGGCGAGCTCTGGTTGCCATTGGGTTGGCCGGATAGGGTGGTCTATAAATAGAGATTGGATCCACGTGACAACTCCGCCGCTGCTCCTGCTGCCCCTCCTGAGCGTTCGGCTGTGAGTCTGCGCAGGAGGAGGATCGTCGGCAAGGATGGAATCTGGATCACGCCTCCTCTTCCAGGAAGCTTTCCCAGACACTCAAAAGCAAAACGGAACGGACATCTTACGATACGATTATGCTTTTAAGCAGGGCCGGCTTACAAGGCTCTGTAATTCCATCATGGGGGAGGCTGGGGCCGGAAAAGAATTGAGAGTTCGAGGCCAGCTGGAGCAACATAGTGAGTTTCAAGCTAGTCTGGATTACACGGCTAGTTTCTGTCTCATGAAAACAACACACGTCTGGAATTACAAGATCCTGGGTGAAATAGTCCATGATTTGACCAGAAGAGAATCTTTTGTCTTCCAGGTGCTGTGGGGCTGTGAGGTCCACCAAACTGAGATCGCAGGGGCTTTTGTTCCCGGTTCTAAGAGGCTTTGTTCTCTTTCTTCTGAGATGCTCTGTTCTCAGTGTTCTGTGGTCCTGACTCTGACCCTCTCCACTTTGGTAGGCTGCGTCCTGCCTCCCCTCGCTGGGCAAGCGAGGCTAGCGCTCCCTCAGGCGGCCAGCCTGTGTCACTTCACCCGGTGTGCCTGCAATTTCTGTGGCAGGATTTTTTTCTGTGTAGCCCTGGCTTTCCTGGACTCTGTAGACCAGCCTGGCCTCGAACTCACACAGATTAGCTTACCTCTGCCTCCCTGAGTGCTAGGATTACAGGCGTTCGCCACCGAAGGACCTTTGACTTCTTAAAAAGTTCGTAACTGTGAGGGAGGCCGGGGCAGAAGAATCACCCTGAGTTTGAGGCCAGTCTGGGCTAACTATGAGAGCCTGTTAGAAAAAGAAAAACATATTGTTTTTTTTTTTTTTTTGAGCAATGGCTTCTACTGTCTATGCCTGTAATCCAAGGACTGGGGCTGGAGAGATGGCTCAGCGGCTGACGAGTGCTTGCTGCTCTTCCGGAAGATCTGGGTTCAATTCCTGGCACACGGGTGGAAAAAGAGGCTCACAATCGCCTGTAACTCTAGCATCAGGGGATCGGGTGTCCTCTTCTGGTCACCTCAGGCGACTCTAGGGCATAGACACACATGCATACACATAATTTAAAATATTTAGTTCTTAAAAACCATTCTTGAGGTGCCAACCAAGCGTGGTGGCTCAGGCCTGTCACCCCAGTACTCTAAATGATGAGGCAGGAAGATCTGCAGGTCCAGGATAGCCTGGGCTACACAGCAAGCCCAAACAAAGGACTGGGGATGGGGCTCAGTGGTAGAAAGTCAAGAAGCCTGGTAGGTTCGATCCCCAGTACATGAATGATCATGTTCAGTTGAATCCTCAGTTTACTCTTAGCTGTGGAGGGTTGAGGGCCAAAAGTGAGGGTGACCCAGCAACCGGAGACCTGGGCAGGGTCCAGAGTTGAAAAAGACAGCATGATGATGGCACCTATCTTTAATCCCAGCCCTTGGGAGGCAAAGGCGGGTGGACAGTAAATTCAAGGGCAGCCTGGTCTAGACAGTGAGTTTTAGGACAGCCAGAGCTATGTAGAGAGACCCTGTCTCAAAAAGAAAAAAAAAAAAAAAGATGTGGGACATGTGATCCCTTCAGGTCATTTCCTTTCCCTCAGGGCCAAGATGGCGCTTGGGTGTTCCCCTAGACAAGCCTGCCCATGCTCTCAGACTGCTTCAGGCTGCCCTGTTATGCTCCCTGCCCAGCCCTCCTCCGCCTACTCACGATCAGCGCTGTCCCCAGGACTGGTCCCATCTCTGTCATGGGGGCAGGGCCTCAGGGGTCATGGTCACCACTGAGTACCCAGCATCACTCAGCACGGTGACAAAAATGGAGACGGGGAAGGAGCACCTGTCAAGAAGTCGCTGCAGCGGAGAACACCAAGGCTAGGAAGACGGCTCGGTGGGAAAAGTGTGGAAACATGAGGAACTGAGTCCAGATTCCTGGCATCCAGGCAAAGGGCCAAATGGAACGGTCCCGTACTTGCCTGACTAGTGCTGGGGGATGGACACAGGGTCACTGAGGCCTGAAGGGCAGCCAAGTCTAGCCAATTAGTGACCTTGATTCAACAGGAGAGCCTGTGGGGAAAATCTAGGTGGGATAGCCAGGCCTACGACCTGGTTCTCGCTGGGTAGGAATAGGATGGTAGAAGGAGATAATTGACCTCTGCAGGCACGCCTCTGCGCACCCCGCGTCAGTTTTTTTTTCTTCTTCTGAGACAGGGTTTCTCTGTGTAGACCAGGCTGGCTTTGAACTCATAGAGATCCACCTGCCTCTGCCTCCCAAGTAATGGGATTAAGGTGTACAGCACCATCACCTGCCATGATATGGACTTTTTGTTTCCACACATGCACACCACACACACACACACACACACACACACACAACACACACAGACTGCACCAGCTGGGCAGGAGTGTAGCAGGTTTTAATCCCAGCACTTGGTAGGCAGAGGCCAGCCTGGTCTACAGATCAAGTTTGAGCCAGGGCTCTGTCTTCAAAAACAAAAAGAATTAAAAAAAAAAAAAAAAAAAAAAAAGAAGGGTCCTCCATGTATCCCAGGCTGGTTTCAAATTAAAATATAATTTAAAAATAATGTATGTAGTCAAAGATGATATAAATTTTGCTGTGTGCGCGCGCTCGAGCGCAGGGGGGTGGCTGGCATGTGCTGCACTGTGATACGGAGGTCAGAGGACAACTTCCTGGAGTCAGTTCTCGTCCCTTAAAGGCTGGGCTGGGGCTTGAACTTGGGTCAGCCTTCTCTGCAAGCATGTTACTCCCTGAGCCAACTCATCTCCCTGTGACTCTCAATCTTGGAACCTTCCTACTTCTACACCTACAGTTTTATGACTTGCTTTTCATGGAGGAAGACGGTACCTTGGCACATACTAGACAAGTGTCCTACAGCTAAGCCAGGACCCTAGACCCTTCCTGGTGGGTTCTAGGCAAGGACTTCATCTGTGCCCCTTAAACGCACTTTTAGGATCGGTGTCTTCACGCTGAGAATGGTACCCACTCATCCATCATGGTGCATCTTCTTCCTCTCCCTTCCTCCTTTTCCTCTTCCTCTGTATTCAGAAATCTGTGCTGGGATTAGAGGTGTGCACTCTAAGCTGCACACGCCTTTCCCTTTTCTGGCAGATGTGATGTCCCTCTCTCATATTCTACTCCAGAGAGTGCTCCTCCCCAAACTCTTCCCCTTCTGCCCTTGTCTTCACCACCGTCTGTAGCATCCACTTTCTGGGTCTTAAGAGCCCAGAGTGGCCTGGAACTCAACGTGTACCTAAGGATGGCCTTGAACACCCGATCCTTCTGACTCTTACCTCCCCAGCACTAGAACTACAGGCAGCAGCCAGCACAGAAAAAGCTGTGTGTCCTGTTTTTGAGGCAGAGTCACACTCTGAGACCTTGGTTGGCCTTGAGCTGCTCCGAGTGAGTGGGACTGTAGACTCGCATAACTATGGCCAGAGAGAGCCTGGTTTTTAAAAATTACGTTTATTTATTGCATGTGTTTGTGTGGGCACATGTGGTGGTCAGAGGACAACTGGGAGGAGCTGATTCTCTCCTTCAAAAAGGTTCATCCCGGGATCAAACTTAAGTTGTCAGGCTTGGCGGTAAGCGCCTGTACCCACAGAGTCATCTCTGCAGGCTTGGAACTTCCTTTTCATACAGTCCTTTTTGTGGGCAACAGCCTAATGACTAGGATTGGGACATCAGAGACTACGACCATGGCCCAGGGAAGAGTCTGTTTCGGTGACCAGAAAGCCAGACGGCCCTGGTCCCCTGCATACTGCTCCATCCCGTCTGTGCAGGAAGCTGCTTCCCCTAGAACAGCTCACTTCCGGGGTGGCGTGCAGGATTCCAGAGAAAGCAGCCCAGCAGGGAACTTGGGCCTCAGAGGATGCTAATCCGCTCAGCCAGCCCCTGCATTTCGTGGTCCTGCGGCAGACGGGCGCCACACAGGTCCCCCTCTGCAAGTGTCCCATGGCGCTCTGCCACAAACTGATCCCAGCGCGCGTCGTCGCTCTCGTGGGTGATATATCGCTCGCCCATCTTTCCCTCTAGCTCTCGGAGGTCAAGCCACGTCTGGTACTCCTGGGCAGGGGAAAACTGGGTTAGCTTGGGCATCCCAAGCTGGGCAGAGTACAGCAATCTCAGCAACAGCCTGGGTTCCGCTGGGACCAATGATGGCAAAGCACCACGCCCCACAACCGGCCCAGCCAATAGAGGCGTAGCCTCGTTCCCAACCACAGGGCAGCAGCAGGAGGGTCAATCACTCGCCCAGCCAATTAAAGACGGCTCTGCCGCCGACTCTAGCCCCCACTCCCTACGTCACCTGTAACCAGGGGTGGCTGAGAGACTTGTCCACGCTGTAGCGCTTGCGCATCTTCACCTGCAACAGGTTGTTGATGAGGTCGATGGCTGTGAAGGAAGCAGACAGATGAAGCTCGCCTGGAGCGACAGGCTGCCTCTTCCAACAAGGCACCCCACCCCCCTGCCATGGAGGCGTAGCTGCAGCCTGGCCCAGGTGAACAAACACCTATCCCTGCTTTTCTCATTAAATTA